AACTCTCTAAATAGCAGTGAAGGGAATGAAAGCAGTTAGAAAACAAAACATTTTGTCCAAAGGAATAAAGAACAATTACCAGATTTAGTTCCTAAAACAGAAGACAATGGAGCAATATCATTAAAGTAACAGAAACATAAACTGTCAACCTAGAAGCTCTGATCCAAAGATGTGCTCTTCTGAACTGGAGGTAAAGTAAGAGCTAGGGAGTCTATCACGGAAGACAGGTATTCTAGGAAATGTTACAAGGCGCTTTTACAGGAAATGATACCAGATAGAAACTGAGATTTACACAAAAGAAGACAGACACAGAGAAGACATACACTTGGGCAAATGTGACAAAGCATCTTGACACCAATTTGAACCCCGAAATGACAACAAGAAATGCAGTGGCGGGATGTTTGTGCCCCAGTCACATGTTCAAATTCTTCAAGGTCTTTGGGAAGGTGACTGGGTCACCAGGGCAGCACGTGCATGAATGTGGCTTAGTCCCTGTAAGCACAAAGTCCCAGTTAGACCCTCCTCCCTTCTCTGAGGCACAGTAGAAGATGGCCTCTCTAGAAAAGGGGCCTCTTCCACACAGCCACACTTCATCCCGAACTCCCCGGCCTCCAGAGGAGTGAGCAATAAATCTGTCATTATAATCTGCTGGTTTCTGGCACTTTGTTGGAGTAGCCTGAATGGACCAAGATAACCTGCTGTGAAATTAACAGCACATATAGCAGAACAGGACAGTGGCATCAGAAAGCTTTGGCAGAAGGAAACTGCACAATCGTGAAGATGGTAAGGATTCCTGTACCTGAAAGGGTACACCATTCGAATACAGACTGTGGAAATTTAAAGAGAAATACTCTAAAGCTAGAGCATCCATAAGAAAATGAAATAGATGTAGCGAAGGAAGCAACAGAAGTAATGAAATGGATTTAAAAAAAAAAAGCCTCAATCCAAAAGAAGTCATGAAAAGAGAAAAAGGGAACAAAAGACAGATGGGATCAACAGGAGCAAAAAAACAAGATAGGAAACACAAACTTAACAATACCAATGTACCGATAATTAAATTAAATGCAAATTATTTAAGTATTCTGATCAAGACTAAATGTAAATTTTTTAAGCATTCTGATCAAGACAGAATTTACAGCCAATTATTGGCTCTCAATAAGAAATCTTTTTAAAAAAATAAGACATATATAGATACTTGTCTTACGAAGACAAATTGGTAAAACCATGGAAATAGACTTCTGCTGACTTTAGTAAGAGAAGCAAGACTGGCTAAATTTATATCAAAACAGACTTCAGAACAAGGAAGATTACCAGAATTACAGGTCATGACAACCCTCTAAGTGTATCTATACCTCATATCAGAGTTTCAATATACATGAAGCAAAAAAAAGAAAAAAAGAAAGAAAAGAAAAATGACAGTCATGACAAGAGAAATACAAACACACTTTGGGATTATGACAGAGAGTGGAAGACGCCTCTCCCAATTACTGACGAAGCAGCAGTGAGGAAGTAGGAAGCACACAGAGCACCTAAATAACCCGGCCAGCCAATCCGACCTAACCAACACTTACAGAACACTCCATCCAACTGCGAGGACATCCAGCACGGTAGGCCACATTCTGGGCTACAAACCCAGTCTTTACACATTCAAATGGATGGACATTTTAATGGGTGCGTTTTCTGGTCATAATCAAATTAAACAAGGCATTGGTGTCAGAAAGATCACCTGGAAAATCCTAAATACTTGAAAAACAAAACATTTCTAAGTAACCACTGAGTGCGGAAAAAAAATGTCAACGGAAACTGGAAATATTTATGGGGGGGGAGGAGGAAGAGGAGAGCACCAAGTTGTCCTCAGGGGTTACTCCTGATGCATGCTCAGGAATAACTTCTGGTGATATTCAGAGGTTCATATGGGGTACAGGGGTTCAAACCCGGGTTGGGTGCATGTAAGGCAAGGGCCGTATCTACTGTACCCCTCCAGATCCCTGGGAAATATTCTGAACTGAAAGCAAATGAAAAGTTAATGTAAAAACAACAACAATAACAACAAAAATACAGCATCCATTGTAGGATAAAGCTAAACGAAATAAGTAAAAGAATTCACTAGCAAAGGTAAAGGTAAAGGTCCTCCCGTTGATCGTCGATTTGCTCGAGCGGGCCCAGTAACGTCTCCATTGGAGACTTTGTTGTTACTGTGTCTGGCATATCGAATACTCTCGGTAGCTTGCCGGGCTCTCTGAGAGGGGCGGAGGAATCGAACTCGGGTCGGCCATGTTGGCCGCTTGTAAGGCGAACGCCCTACCCGCTGTGCTATCGCTCCAGCCCATCACTAGCAAATTCATCTAATTTAGCTGAATTGAATCTATTTGTTAAAGTAATGACTAAACAAGCAGTTATTCATCATTACATAAGAGGGCTCAATTAATTAATATACGAAGATCCTTGTTTTGGGGCCACATCCAGTGGTGTTTAGGAGTTGTTTCTGGCTCTGTACTCGGGGACCACTCCTGGAAGTGCTGGGGGGACCCTATGTGATGCCGGAGATTGAACCTGGGTTGTCCGCGTGCAAGGGAAGCCCTCCACCAACTGTGCCATCTCTCCAGCCCTGATACTCTTTTTTTTTGCTTTTTTGGGTCACACCCAGCAATGCACAGGGGTCACTCCTGGCTCTGCGTTCAGGAATTACCCCTGGTGGTGCTCAGGGGACCATATGGGATGCCGGGAATCGAACCCGGGTCGGCCGTGTGCAAGGAAAACTCCCTACCCATTGTGCTATTGCTCCAGCCCCCCACCCATAATCTTGAGAGCAAAGATCTATGACATCTACTATTACAGATGCGAACTTTGTGTGTATGTGTGTGTATAAAGTCCTCCAATCTATCAGATAAACATATGGCCTACCCTCCCATTCCAAAGGCAGGCTAGAGGAGCTGGCAGGCTGTGTATGTGAAAGCAGCACATACACTCAGGCCAAGGACTGGGGCACTGTGTGGACATGGAAGCACAAGGCCTGGGTCTAACACGATGGGGGAAGGCAGTGCCAAGTGCAAACAGGGGCCCTGGAAAAGTCCCAGCAGGACAGAAAGGCCAAAACAGGTTGGCCTAAGGTTCAGTGAACAACAGCAGATTTGATTTCACCCACGAAACAGGCAGAGAGAGGGCACTTGGAACTCCTTCATGAGGGCCCAGAATACCCGGTACACTGGTCCTGGAGCTAGAACCTGAGTTTGTTTCATAAGTCATTGACCACATGACTGGTGGTCTAATTGCTCCTCTCCTCTCTTTCTCCGTCTGTGAAGATGACCAAAGCCATCCCTGTCACTGCCAGTTGTGGTGGGAACAATCACACCACACGTACCTGCCATCCCTTGTAATCTAAAACATATAGTACACGGTATATATAACATAGTATACATACACTGTGGAGAACACAAAGGCAACAGGAAAGATCCCAGTGCAGGAAGGTGGTTGAGAAACCCTGAGGCTGAAGGAAGATCACTGACACTGGACAGATGTGTGACACTGGACAGATGTGTGACACTGGACAGATGTGTGACACTGGACAGATGTGTGACACTGGACAGATGTGTGACACTGGACAGATGTGTGACACTGGACAGATGTGTGACACTGGACAGATGTGTGTTGGGGGGGCGAGAGGCTGGTGAGAAGGATGTGGGAACAAGGCAGACATGTCAGTGTTTCGTGCTGGTGTGGGCCCTGGGAAAGGCAGGCAGAGTCAAACACGGGTCAGGGATACTGACAGAGAACAGGATGGAGGGAAATGGCGAGAAAGTAGAATGGGATCCGGCTTTAAAGAAGTGGGCAAATGGGCAATTTTGACCCCCTACCCCAGAGAAATAAGAAGACAGGAACCATTTTGATGAAATGGGATCATGTTTCTAAACAAACTTTCACCCATATGGTAAGAAACAGCTGACTCTTAAGAGGGAAAAATGTCATGGCAGAAAAGTATTTAACCCTCAAAGACCAGGCCTCGATTCTAAAAGCACTGGCAAGTATCTTCTCTACACAATGACACAAGTATCACCTGGTACACTCTAGCTGAATTTCATCCAGATATTTTCACGTATGATTTCTCACTGGAGGTTACACCAACACAAAAACCCATGGGTAAGAACACCATGGAGGGCCAGCAACATGTTAACAGTGCACCAGATCCACCGTCAAGTAGGACTCTGAGTAGAAAGAAAGTAGGTAAGAAGTGAGAGGTCAGCCTGGTGGTAAGAAAAATAGACTCACCACCGAGTTCTCGGCTTAAAAAAAAATCATTCAAAAATGATTATGAATATGAATCAGTCAACAAAGCTGAGCGAGATGAATTCACCAAAGAGACGTAATAGAAGACACATTCTGGGATAAACTGTATGGACTGTGAATGAATGAAGATAGTGCCAGCTTCTGCCTCGGAGCACTCTGTCTCTGGTGACAAGAATGAAAAAGACTTTTCATTCCCAAAGAACATGCTCAAGGTACTTGTGCACAGTTCTCTGTGTGACAAACAGGATGATCACTTTTCCAAAGTTAAAAAAAAAAAAGTATCAGCTACTACATGAGAATAATGCGCGTTCAAATTAAATTCAAACGGAACTTTTCAATTGCCTTCCATATGTTATATAGCACCCAAAGTTAAGCAGGATCAAATCCGAGTAGGTTGTTCCTGTAAACTCAGTAAGTGAAGGTTTGCTGTAAGAAGAAAAAGGTTTTACCAGGATAAGCAAAAAGACATTCCTCTTATAAATCACCCCTAAATAAATCACAAGAACAGTAAGGTACTTGCAGCTACAATTTTTTGGCTAACATTTTTGCCTCATCATCTATTAGCCTAGAAATATATACAAGGGAACTCAAACTAGCGTGCAGAGGCGCTGTCACTGAACTTCTTCACTTTAACATGCAAAAATAGACTAAAAAAAAAAACAACAAAAGGGGGAGAAAGGAGAAGGAAATATCTGGACAGGCTTTGGAGTACTCACCCGTGCAAAGTCAAATGCATATCTGTAAATAAGTTTAAAGTTTGTAGACTCATTTAATAATGATCTTAAGTATTCCAAAGTATTTCTGAGTTTTTCTGTTGTGTCACATCTAGAAAAACAGAATAAAAGCAAATTATAACCTGAGCTTTTTTCTTTTTTCACACCACGGAAGCGAGCACTTTACCCCCCAGTTTTTTGTGGAGGGATAATACCCCCCAGTTTTTTGTGGAGGGATAAATCACACTCCACGGTTCTCAGGGATCACTACTGACGGTGCTCAGGGGACCATATGGAGTGCCAGGGACAACCCAGGTGGGCATATGCAAGAGCCCTATTTGTTGTACTATCTCCCTGGACCCCAAAGAAATTAAAACAAAACAAAAACTTTGGAGTTGAAACACATCTATGATGACCTTTTCCCCTAAACTTTTTATATAAGAAAGCTCAACAATACAGAAAAGTTGAAAAACTAGTATGAGTTCTGGTTTACTAGTAGATACATTATCTACTCTGTCCTATTTTTTTTTCTCTCACATACACTTTTTCTCTGTACAAAAGTAAGGTGTAAACAGGACACTTAAACCCCCGAAGACTCAGAATATGGCATGATCATGGTATCATTAACACTGTCTTAGCTACTACACAACCCAAACAGAAATCTCCCTAGTTCTTGCTGCTTTTTTCCCATCCCGGAATTAATGCTCATGCATTGTTCTTAGTTGTCATATTTCCTTTGTTTCTAGAAGGACATCCTGTACCTTTTTGTTGTTTACTTTCTCGACAATGTCATTTCTGAAGAGACCAAATCAGTGTCCAATAGTTTGCTGTAATTGATTTGCTTTTTGGCCACACCCAGGTGTGCTCAGGACTTACTCTTGGCCCTGCACTCAGGAGTCACTCCTGGTGATACCTCAGGGGTCCAGGGCAAGTGTCCTTCTGCTGTACTAGCTGCTCCCCGGCCCCTAATTTCCTGTACTTGTTTGTAAGACAATTTCACTAGGATCATTCTGTGCTGAACACACTGACAGGACCCATACTCGATGTCCTCCTCGATCCCCCCAGCCACACCGTGGTTATAGCACCCTGATTCACAACATAACGAGGGATCTCCCTGCTCTGAAACAGTCTGGAACTGGGGTGCGGGGTCTTGTCCCTACAACCTTTCACTCAGTCACAGCGCATCCATCAATGACAGCTGCCGAGTCAATTTCACACCTTGCCAAGCGATACACATCACAGCGATCTTTCTAGCTCACATGTCTTTGACCTTTGTTGACCGCCAATTTTATGAAGAATAGCTCTGTCACCATCTTGTTTTCCTGAATTTCCACTCTCCCTCAAATGTAACGGTCTGTTCCTTCTGACGCACAAGCTGTCCTGAGTTGGGCAGGGCCCCTTCACGTTCATTTCAGTGAAGGCCCGTCAGCCTCTGAACACACCCTTGCTTTCTGGCACAAGATATTTCAGCTCACCTTGTACTTTCCCGACATGAGATCTGAGCGCTGCCATTTCTCCTGGGAACCCCAGTGATAGTCTATTTTTACTGCTTATTTTTCGTACGGTAACAGACTATTTTTATGAACTAATTTTTTGATCACAGTACCTTGTCCATAAAAATCGAGAACCAAGGGTCACCATTTCATAATTGCCAAGATTATGAAAGCTTTATAATGCTACCTGTGTCCTCTGTAGAGCTTTTAGCTACTATTAGTAAGATAATCTATTATCAGTATCATCAATGTAAATATTTTGCAAACTTAATAAACAATGATTCCAAGACTAAATGGATACATTTATAGAAATAGATTTGTGAAACCATTTTTTGTATAGTTAGCTATATAAGTCTGTGTGATTTTCTTCTACTGAGATGATAAAACATCTGAAAGTCAAAAATTAAGACTAAATATATCTCATTTCTGAGGCTATTACAATTTAGGTCTTATTTCCTTCTGATATTTGAAACCTAAGAGATTAAAATGCAACTATTTTAGAAGTCAGAGAAAGCTTCTTTAAGGGACTGATGCTTGTCTGAGAGCTGAAAGATAAGCAGGAACTGGGTGTTTCTGTTCTTGCAAGACAAAAGAACAGCACGTGCAAAGGCCCAGCAGCACAAGGGGGCAGAGGCGGTCAAGACGGAGAGGAAAGTATTGTGACTAGACTGGAAAGGGCGTGAGGGGAAGGTGGTACAGGAGGAGAGGGGGGACAGGGACAGACCATGTGGTCCACAGGGAGGCTGTTCTGAGATTCTGGACAAATTCCTTTGGGATATCTACAGAGAAGGAAATAAAAGAGACTCAAGCAAGCAATATCGAGCCACAATCCAAGCAGGGGGTAATGGAGGCTGGAAGGGTATACGAGAGAGGTCTGAGGGGCCTGAAAGAGCCCTCTGCTCGAGAATCCTAATGCATGGTTCTTGTTGGGGTTCTTTTGTAATGCATGTACATCATGAGTAATTTATTGATCATAGTTATGAGGGTAAGAGAGGAGGGAAACTAACCCCAAACACCAAGGCTGACCACCTTACTCTTTTCTAGAAAGGAAGGCAAAGGACCACAAGGCTGCAGAGGATTGGCACGACGCTAGCTGGCGATGCAGTTCCGTCCTGCTCCGGGAGCATAGGAAAGCAGGTGAGCGTCTTCCCAGACTAAAGGGCAGACTAATCAAGGTGATGGGACAGGGGCACAGCACGCCCGGAAATGGGTGCACTCCCCCTGGCGAAGTCGCTGAGGCCTTGTCTGCTCAGGAGAAAGTGAGAAGGCTCTCACAGTTTTGAGCACGAAAGGCCCAAAGTCAGCTTTCTCTGCATGAACCTACACAAGACGTGAGATGGCTTAGAGCGAGGCTGTCAGTCGAGATCCAGTCTTTCAGGGGCGCTTCCAGGCAGCGTGGCTGGACTAACCCCCCCAAGGAAACCAGCCCCTCAGTCACCCTGTGCACACCCGAGCTTGCCCCCTGGCCGTCGCTGAGGTGCCTCCACGGAGGGACTGGTTTCACCTCCACGCTGTGCCTGAGCAAACTCCAGGAAATAGAATGATACTGCCACAAGACAAAGGCGCATCATCTCCCAAGCAAAGTGCTGTGGCGTCACCACTTCTCTGACCAACGGAAACCAAGGACAGTAATCCTCCCGGGAAATAGAGAGGCAGTCCCTTCCTCCTGCCTGTCAGTGGGAAACCTTCTCAATATCACCCTGACAGTATTCATTCCTCCAGCCCGGCCGGCAGATTTCAACATCCCTTTCCTTTTGTTCCGTTTCCACATCCCCACAAGCGTTAGTAACTAACTCTTCAGAGGTCACCTGACAACTTTAGTCAAGCGTGCCTGGGGCCTGGAGAGGCTGGGCACGGACTCTGGGGCCAGCAGAGCGCCAAGCGTTTGATTTCCACTCTTGATTCATTCCAGTCTGAGTCTAAGCCATTGCACTGAGCAGGCTCAGTGGACCGAAAACGAGCAGAAAACACTCAAGATGGAAGACAAAACAGCAGCCAAGAAACGAACTAGGTTCCCTCTTCAGAACATACAAATGATGAGTTCTGATTTTCTTCATTTCTAGGGGGGCACCTATCTTAAAGACAGTCCACAAGTAGCTCAAGTTATGTCATATAAAGGGAAGTGACATCACTGTGACTTTTTTTCTTTTTAAATTTTTATTAGTGAAACACCATGAGGTACAGTTGTAGACATACAAATTTTTGTGCTTGGGTTTCAGTTACACAATGATTGAACACCCATCCCTCCACCAGTGCCCATTTTCCACCACCACGGGTCCCAGTATCCCTCCCACCCCCCATCCCTCCCATCCCACCCTGCCTCTGTGGTGGGGCATTCCCTTTTGTTCTTTCTCTCCTTTTGGGTGTTGTGGTTTGCAAAAGAAGCATTGAGTGGCAATCATGTTTGGTCTATAGCCTACTTTCAGCATGCTTCTCCCATCATACTGGAAGCCTAAGCACTGCTTCCAAGCTCCAGGCCCAAACAGACTATGATTTTCTCATGGGTTTCATCTCTCCAAGACCTGAAATAGCTGGCAGACCACTGCCTCACAAAGACTGGAGCAAATGGTAAATCTAGGAGAGCAGAGGCTGGGATGGATGGGGGACTGGTGACAAAGGTGACACCTTTAAACCAGGAAGACTATTTTTGAACTATAAAGACCCTAAGTAACTATGTCTACCACTTTAAGTGAGGAAGCTAACCTGATTTTTGTTACCACAAGAGAGCAATAGTGGACATCGAGACAGCTCCAAGGACTGGAGCATTTGCTCAACATGCACGAGACCACCCCCCCCCCCCCCCCGGGCATGTCAAATGTCTGGCACCACCTGGCTTGGGGTGGAGCCTGCCCAAATTACCTGACTGTCACCCTTGCTGTCATCCACCCAGACCTGCTGAGATCCCAGGGAGGAGGGAGTGAGCTTGGAAAAATGGGGACCCACTAGTACAGCTCTCAGACTTACTGTAGAGAAGTCATTCCTTTCAACCATTCCTGTAGAGTAAAATAACCCATGTTCTGTGCATCCAATTTCCAAGCAAGAACAAGCATAACTACCTGTTTAAAAAAAAAATAGAAAGAATGTTTAGATCTTGGCAATTAAATATATCATCAACTTGCAAAATGCTTCTCGATGGCATACTTTAGTGACTGAAATATTAACATATAAGCAGGGCAACTTCAAAAACTAATTCTAGAGGGGAAAACATCTAAAGTTCTGTTGGGGGTGGGGGAGGGAGGGTTGGAGAAACATGGCCTCCTGTGATGCATGACATGACTGTGGAAGAATAAAGTGACGAACTTTCCCAGAGGGCACTTCTGCAGTACCCACCGCAACTGCAGGCAGGAGTGAGCAACTCCAGTGACGGAAAGGCAGATGCGCAGAGATGGGGATTCAACCACAGTCACGCAGTACTGTTGGTTGCAGTGAATGATTAAAATACACGCAGGGAAAGCGCTAAAATGGATGGAGCGCATGCCTTGCACACTCCAGATCCCAAGTTCAACTCTCATGCCCCAACGCAGCCTCTGAACACTGCTGGGTGCAGCTCTGGTAGTTTGCTCTGCCCTGTGGTACCTGAGCAGCACCGTATGACCAGGCGCAGGCACTGAACAGTCAGGCTGAGTGTCACCAGGGGTGGCCCCTAGGAGCCCAAGAAACAACTGGAGTCTTTCCAATGAGGGACAGGTCACATGCTTCTTTACCGAATACACTTCCTACAGAGGAATACTAGGCTGCAATGAAGACAAATGAAGTGGAGCTACGGGGTTCACAACTGCCAGAGTCGTGAGTGCAAAGAGCAAGAAGAACAGAGCTGCACACGGCTCAAACAGGGCGCAGGGCACACTCAGTGGAGCTCTGTCCCCAACAGGCTGATGCTGGCGCCTTACGCTCTCCAGCACTAAGGGAACACAGGGTGGCCCACCAACATTCCCGCCCAACGGCTCTGGGCTCTGCAGAGCACTGGGGTGCCCACACATGAGCCACTGGCTTTCATGGAATCCTCTGGAACACTGCCTACCACCGGGAGCCGTGACAACTTTCCTACTCAGCTGGCACAGAGGCTAATGGGGGAGAGAGTTTAATCAGTACCTGAAGAGGCAAGATAAAACTTGCACCCAAAGGCACGGCCAGCTTCAGCCATCAGGGCTGGGGCCATGCCTCCCCGTTTCCTCTCCTCACAGATCTGAGGGAAGTTGAGGAGTAACTCATCGGCAGTAGAGAAAGGATCAGGAGGCCCCTCTGGGACAGTCCTGGCTCTCTGGACCATCATTCAAACCTAAGGGACACCCAAGTCCTAAACTGAGGGATCCCATACATGCTACAAAGTGTAACTATCCGTATTTATTGCAGCAAGCATAAAAAAGACAATGGAAGAAAATAGCTATCCTGCAATCCAGCTGGCCAAGGAGGGTTGCACATCTGACAATGTAGTTTTTTTTTTTTATAGAAGACTTAAGGCAACCACTAGAAGAAAGCACTGGCCCCAGACCACTAAACCACCAGCCAGGTGCCCAGATGGGTCAAACAGTGTGGGTTGGTAAAAGGACTCAGCATGAGACAGCACACGGAGAACTGAGACAAGTGGCCAGCTGTCAATCACCTTGAACGAGCCTCCAAGAGCTAACGTGTACTTGATGAACTCCAGAATAGTAGAATTTAGGGCCAGAAAAATCTTTTCAGTTTGCCGATTTCCAGACTGAAAATCTCCAGTTCTAATTTATAACCACAAGATTAATGAAAAGCTTCCTTCTGGTATTGACCTTATGGTTCTCAATTCTGAAAATTAATAGCAGTTGAGAACCCACTAAATCTCTAGGATCTTTCATCAAATACGTATTAAATCAGTAACCACTTCTTTTTTATTCCCTAGGTTTCTTTAGATTTTAAAAATCTTGATTACTAGGACTGATCAAGTGAACCAATGTCTGAAAATATTTTGCACATCATCGCAAAATGCAGCTGTTAAAAAACAGGGACCTAAGTAAGGGTCCCAGGAGATGGGTCAGTGGTCAGGGACACAAACCTTGCATGTAGCAAGGCCCCGAGTTCAACCCTGGCTCCACGGGCCCACCAAGCACATCACCATGCAGCTTGGGAGGGTTAGATCTGGAAACGCCAGAATATCACTAACCAAGCATTATAGTTATATGCTTGGTAGTGATATAGTTTTCCCAGTTTGCCTAGCTGGGAAAACGCCTTTTCTTGGAATTCTGAACCCTGTCATACATCAATTTATTTGGGTGAAGTAACGACATTTTCCGGTTTAAATTTGGTATGTCTCAAATTGTATTTATACCCATCCTCTCTTACCAAGATAAAGAGCTGTACAAATACACTTAAGTCATTTAGTAAATAGTCAGGGTACAGGAACAAACACACAAGTATACAAGAGATAAAATGACAGAGCTAAAGCCGATATTCACAATGGATAGTTCTTCACACAAAATAGGCCTTTTTTCTCATGATTGCTACTAAGGAAGCTATTTTAAGCCTGCTTAAAATTCATAACCTATAAGTACCAGGCGAGGTAAAGATTTTAAATACTTTTAAATGCTTACTACTCATCAATGCAGAATACCTTCAAGAAATTTCACCCCACTTTTTTCAACGGTTACCATTTGTGAATTTTAGGGTGAGCCCACAATAGATGGCATCCCTTGTTCTCAGTGGTGATTTAAAATAACAGCTTCTATGAGTGGAGCTGAAGAACAGTAATAAACACTCAAAATATATTCTGAATTTGGTCTTCCAGTTTTCACTGTGATTCAGCGGCTCAAAGACTATTTCTATTTCTACAGAAATCGTGATCCAAAGGACTCCTGACTGCCAAGGGGTAACACAGCAAGCTCTCCTTCGCAGAGCACCGGTCTGAGTGGTGACGAAGGATTTCTCTTCTTCAGTAAGAATCCTGATGTTCCTGCTCTCCCAACAGGTCTTTCCTCGTCAGAGAGTAAATGCTCACCGAGTTTTCCTTCCAACAGCAGTCTGAACCTTGCCTCTAACTGCCTCACTCCTACTTACCAACATAAGCTGGTATTTTTCGGGGTGGAGCCTCTGGGTACCTCTTGGGGGAACTCACCCTTGTCCCTCCTACTGCACTATCCAACCTGGTCCAGCTCCTCTCAGAGATCCCCTTCTAATGAAGTCAGGGAGAGGCTCTTTCCTGGACTGTCCTCTAAGCCAGAACAGGCTAAAGAGCAATGGCCTGATTGTCTCCAAACCATGCTGAATAGCTGATCAAAGTGCTTGAAGTAGATCATTAACAACATAAAAAGCAGGGGGAAAAATGCAATGAAATAAAGACACAAAGATTCTTTTGAAAATCTGAAATGTTACTGGGGAGAAGTAGGGAAGGAGAGATTTTAGAAATAGGAACAGAAGATCGCAAAGGAAGTTTTTACGAAAAGTGTGACATCTCAATTTTAAAAGAGCACAGGCTTACCCACGGGTACTAGATTGTCTAAATGACGGCATGAGCTCTTGAGAGTGCTTCTAGACCATAAATTCATTTATGAGCTAAGTTATATTTGTTAAATTGGAGGCTAATGTAAAATTAAACTGCATAGTTAACGAGCCAGAGTTATTATGCTCTTTATTGACGCTAAGAATGAGCATAATTTTAATTTTAGTGCAAAAATGTAGAAACAGAAAAATATCCAACAATAGCATGATGACAAGAGTTAGGCAAAAATAATTAAACACTTAGAATAACTTGCAATTAATTTTTTTGGTTTGTTTTAAAGAACATACTGAGGATCTGTATATTAAAAAGCAAACACTTTCTGAGCTAAATTCACTTGGAAATGGAATGAGCTGTGAGAAGTTTCTGATAATTACAACCTACTGAAAACCTCTATGAGTATTTTGTTATTTAAAGTCCTAGGAAAACTCGACGCTGATCTGAACAACTATAGAGAGGGACAAAGGACACAACACACAGATATACAACAACACAAGGTCTCTCAATTGACCTGTTGGTTTAAAGCCTCCACATTTTTTTTTTTATTTTTTAGTTTTTGGGCCGTACCCAGCAATGCTCAGGGACTAGTCCTGGCTCTGTGCTCAGGAGTCACTCCTGACAGTGCTCAGGACCTCATATAAGATGCCGGGGATGGAACCCAGGCGTTCTGCAGGTAAGGCAAGTACCCCACCTCTCTGGCCCCAAGTCTTGAAAAACACTTTATTATTGTACCTTCAAGGAAAAAAAAAAGGAAAAAAATGATTGTTGCTTATGTAAATTATACTGAAACATTTTCGTCGCAAATGAAATAACCAGAGTTTTCTTAGATCACCTCATGGAAACGGACATACCATGACTTCCCTGGTGCTGCTTTATTTGTGAGAAAGTGAAGAGAAACTAATCAACTGAGCTGACCCAACTTACTAAATTAGGACTTACATTTTCTGGTTCCACACCAATGTCTTCACAAAATTTCTCCATGCCTTCTGGACCTACAACATCATCAGTACCTGTGATGAAATGCAATCTTATATAAATTAAATCTAACCATGTCCACACTATTACTAATGTAGCAGCAGAACACTATCAAAATATTCATTATCAAACTAAAGTCAAGTAACACTTAAAGGCCATAGCTCCTTTTGGCTGGGCGTAAGAAATCAAGGGATCTAAAATGAAAAAATATTGTAAATTACAATTTTATCTTTAGGGATTAGAGATATAATCCTGTATTGCACGATCATTGAAGTCAATTTATCACCAAGTCCTTCACCACCTCTGGGCATACATCTATTTTGAGTCTCAAGACAGGACTACCTGAGTTTAATTCCTGATACCGACTATACTGAAATATCAATTATTTTGGCAATATTTTTCATAGTAAGAAAATTTTGAAAACGTAGAAAAGAATCACATAAAATTCTCTGTAAAACAACAATTTGTTTCTTTTACACAAGGAAAAATAATTAAGGCTAAACAGCTGTTATTCTAGCTTTATAGCCAGCCATTTCTTTCTTGAGAACCATCCTCATGTTCCAGCTGATGTATTTTATGCCGGTTCATTCTTCAGCCTCCGCTCCACTAAAACTCTCCCTGCCATAGTCCCAAGAACTAGCCCTAAATGCCAGATCTAACAGACACGATCACCCTCTATTTTATTTGGCCTCTCCATGATATCTGAAAATTCGAAACAATTCACAAAACTGTCTCCTTCCTAGTTTCTCCCTTCTCACCTGCTTTCCTCCTCCCTCACCCTTTCTGGCTTTTCTGTGGGTTCTTTTGGTTCTCTGAACATTGATGTTTAGAGCTCTGTCCTTGAGCCTCTTCTAGACCATTCCACACACTCTCCCTAGGTAATTTCCATTGTGCTAAGGTTTGATTCACTACCAGGACTCATTCGAGCCCACACTTGCCCTGACTTCTGGACCGTTTCTAGTGTCCCCATTATCTTGTAAACTGCCACATCTGTATTCTTGTGTTCAAACTGACTTCTGCATTTCTCGCTGTCGAACATCACCTCCCTGAGCCTCTTCCCTTTCCATGTAAAGCATTTTCCCCCTCCTAGATGCTTTCTCAACTTGAAGCATCACCAGAAATACCTACCTGGGAGCTACCTTGGTTTTTATTTTCTGCGGGAAGGGGGGAACATCTGGTGATACTCAGGGGTAATTCCTGGCTTTGTGCTTTAGAATTACTCCTGGCAGTATTTGAGGGATCATATGGGATGCCAGAAATAGAAGAGGGCAAGGAAAATACTCTTGCCCACTTTACTATCTCTCTGTACCCCCAGCTTAGATTCTTAACCATCTCCGACTCTCCCCCGACCCAAGCAAGTGTCAGGTGTATTGTCAACACTTCCTTCTAGTATTTCTCCCCTACACCCACGGGCTCAGGCTTCTCAGGATTGCCCAAATCCCAAATCCTGTCTCACCACCCACCATGCAAACAGTTATCACTGTCACCGTTGTTCATCGTTTTTGCTTGAGCTGGCCCAGTAACATTGTGAGACTTGTTACTGTGTTTGGCATATCAAATACGTCACGGGTAGCTTGCCAGGCTTTGCCACGCAGGCGAGATACTCTTGGTAGCTTGCAGGGCTCTCTGAGAGGGGCGGAGGAATCAAACTCCAGTAGCCATGTTGGCTGCATGCAAGGCTAACGCCCTACCCACTGTGCTATTGTTCCAGCCCATGCAAACAGTTATTGAAAATAAAAGCCACTGAAACACAAACCCCATACTGGCTCAAAATGTTTCCAACACCTTCCCATCACTGAAAGTTCAAAGTCTTTGGCGTATCAATAAGGTTCCCTAGAATCTAATGCCTTTCCTTTCCTCATCGGCCTCGTGTCTATTTAAAACCTTCATATCAAAGTTCTTGGAAACAAAACAAATAGTGCTGAATAAACAAACATTAAGATCTGGAAACATTTACCTGAGACTTGCTCTGCATACACATCAGGACAGGTATCAAATGCCACATTTCTCTTTGTGGTCTTAGTTCATCTCCCCTTGCCTCCCCGCCCCCCGCCTCTTCAGCTTTCTTATTCTATTTTCCAGACCCAAACCAGACGGGCAGTCTTCCCAATACCCACCACCTCACCCCCGCAAAAGTTGGGCAGGCCACGGCCTCATGCAATACTAGGAACGTTTCTCTCACCGAGCACATCTGTGCCAAGTACCAGCTCACTTCTCAGTTCCTGACATACAACCTGGCATGGGATTCCTGCGCAGCAGTCTACCCGTAACTTCTAGATCTAGCCTCGGAGTTTCATTCCAGTGACATTTCCTGGGCACATCCTAAAGCAATGAGCTGAGGAGTGATGCAGCTAAAGAGAAACACAGTGCTTCACGCCCAACTGAGACCATGAGTTGCCCCCCATGAGCGGCTCTCCGGCACAGCCATGACACCCAGGCACAAGGAACTAATCCAGCGCCCCAGCAGCTTGCAGCAGAAATGTGAATGAACTATGCATTAAACTCTGGCGCCATGCGCCCCCTCCCCCCCCCCCCGGAAAGGGCGTCTATCTCTTCTGCCTTTTCCTCCCCAGGCAGCATGGTGACCCCTGCCTCAGAGCTTATTGGAAAGCCAGGTATGAGCCAATGGTGACAGGGCAACTGCAGCCTCATGGGAAAGGGGGGCAAAACCGGCTCGTCCTCCACGCCCAACCGAGGCCATGAGTTGCCCTCCACAAGCGGCTCCCAGGCACGGCCATGGCACCAGACGCACAGAAACCAATCTCATAATTAACTGGCTCTTGGCAGAAATCCCTCCAGACTTAATTATCAGAAATCCAAAATCCAAAAATCACAGGGTTTTCATAACCAGCAATAGAAAACAAATTATTTCACAATGCCTTTTCGGCAGTTCTGATTGTTGGGAGGAAATTCCAAACAATAATGGTGCATCTTTTGTCGAAATAATGTATTCAAAGTAGAGAGAGAGTTAAAGTAGAAATCATCTGCCTCACAGGCATCAGGAGGGGTAGGAGGGGTGGGAGGGGGGGTATACTTGGGTTCTTGGTGGTGAAAAATAATTACTGGTGAGGGGAGGGGTGTTTGATCACTGTATGACCTAGACTTAAACCTGAGAGCTTTGTAACTTTTCTCACAGTGATTCAATAAATAAACTAAAGAGAGAGAGAGAGAGAGAGAGAGAGAGAGAGAGAGAGAGAGAGAGAGAGAGAAACACAGTATATTTTGACCGCCCTCCAGAAAGGGGGACAAAGCAAATCAGAATTGGTCATTTCAATAAAAAATAATAGCTGGATCAGAAAAAGGAGATGACGGTCATTCTCAGCAGCGGACGACAGTTAAAAATCAACTAACGCACTTGGAAAGAATGATGCGACTTCTATGCTTCAAGTCCTTGGCTTCCTCTAAAGTTCAAACTCGAGCTCTTCCTTCTGATCACAGCCAAAGCAAATACTTTTACTACAGGCTGTTATTTTCCCTTTAATCACACGTGTGCAATTCCATTATAAATGGTTATTGACTAATATAATCAAATCACTACCCTTTGCTGAGATACTTTTTGTCCCCTTTAATTTTGCATGTTTTCATATGTATTTCTAACTTTCTTCCCTGATTATGGAGAATTCAAAGTAAAGCTGATCGAATATTTTTAATTTAATGACATCACGTTAACACACAAACACTTTCTCCAAAAGTGAAGAACGAGGGCCAGAGGGAGAGCGTAGCGGGTGAGGTGCCGCCCAGCACACGGCCAAACACAGCCCGATCTCTAGCCCAGCACGTGGAGCACCTCGAGCACTATCAGAAAAGCGGCCCGAGCACAGTGGCTGACGGCGCCCCTCCCCACCTCCTCTACTCCCCACAATTCTGAAAAATAAAAGTGAAAAATAACGTATTTAGAAATCACTCCAAGTTTCCTCGCTAGCCTTGCCCTGCTTTCCTAAGTACCTTCCTGAAATAAATCCTAGAACTTTACAGGGATGGAAAAAAATACATACGCAGTGTTTCTAAACTGCTCCAAGGCAATTTGGTTTTCCAAGGGCACAATAAAACTGGACCAATTCACATCTAACAAACGGTCGTTTTTGCTTCCTCTTTTCTGATATTAATGCTCCAATTCTTACAGCACTGGCTATTAACTTCCGAAGCAACACCAAGTAGGAACAGTTAGGGTAGGGAGATGGCTCAAAGGCGGGAGTACATCCTTCGCCCGTGGGAGCTCTGGGAATCAACCCGCAGACCCACGTGGTCCCTGGGGCACTAGGTGTGCCTCCCACCCCACCCCCTGCAAAGTAAAGAACGGTGAGAATGGTCATTCTCATCTCACTCAAATCTAAGTTTTTCTGCAGTTTATTATCTGATATACTGCAAGTCTGGAGTCTGAGCAGCTCACGTTTCACATGTGTACATAAACGTTACACTGACACAATCACACTGGGAGACAGAAAAAATGACAGAAATGCCTGTGGAATATTCTCCTGCTCCTTTATATATATATGTGTGTGTGTGTGTGTGTATATAAAGGTAAAGGCCCTCCCGTTGTTCATCGATTTGCTCGAGCGGGCCCAGTAACGTCTCCATTGGAGACTTTGTTGTTACTGTGTTTGGCATATCGAATACATCACGGGTGGCTTGCCAGGCTCTGCCGTGCGGGCGAGATACTCTCGGCAGCTTGCCGGGCTCTCCGAGAGGGGTGGAGGAATTGAACTCGGGTCGGCCATGTTGGCTGCGTGCAAGGCAAATGCCTTACCACTGTGCTATCGCTCCAGTCTATATATATGTATGCTTACCTGGTTATATATAACACGTGTGTTATATATCTCTTCCTAATCTTCACTGCAGTTTACTTGTGTATATACAAACATACCATGAAACCTCATTTCAGATGTGCTTCTTTCCACAGATAGGATCAGCTGTTGCTATAAACAACACACCTCACTTTTTCTGACCACCTACCCTCTACCTGGATTCCTGCTGGCCGATGATGCACTTTGCTTTTCTCTGCTGCCCGTGAATACGGGGGTCAGGTCTACGACTG